GGAAGAGGAGGAGGAACAAAGAGGAAAAGGCATGGTCCTAACCTAAAGAAATTTGTTATTTGTTTTAGGCCTTAGGACCTCTGTCCTGGCCAACCCCTGCCCTGATACAGCTTGCCGCTGGCCTTCAGTTAAGACGAATGTCCCCATGGAGGAAGGCCTTCCTTACCCATCCCACGTCAACAGCCTCTCACCCCAGCCATGCCCTCTCTACCGTCTCACCCTCATTTTTTCTTCCCTGTACCTTTCACCGCCTGAAATTGCCAGATTTACTTGTGTCACCATTTATTGTGTTCCCTGGTACTTGAAAGCCAGCTCCGTGAAAGCACGAACCATGTCTGACTTATCCAGAGCACACGCTTGGCTTCAATAAATATTTATGAAACAAGTAAATGATTGAAAAGCAGGCAGATGGAAGAGAGTCGGTGGTGACTAGAGTCACCCAAGAAGACTCCGGGATGGGCTTTGAAGGATAAATGCTAGCAATTCAATCAGAACCTGATGAAGTTAATTCTTTTTTTTTTTTCTTTACCCCTCCTTACCATCTTCAAAAGCTAAACAAGGGCTGGGGTTGTGGTTTAGTGGCAGAGTGCTTGCCTGGCATGTGAGGCACTGGGTTCAATCCTCAGCACCACATAAAAATAAATAATATAAAGGTATTGTGCTATATATATATATATATATATATATATATATATATATATATATATATATACACACACACACACAAAAATAATTTGAAAGTAATTGCTAAATGCTTATTCAATTGAATAGCTTTATTTTTAAACAATTTCCAGTGCTGTGTATCATTTCTGATTAGATGTAAGAGTCAGCTCAGCAACCTTCACTGAGGTTGTTCTTTGGTTTTTTTGTTTGTTTGTTTGTTTGTTATTTTTTTTATTTTGTGGTTCTGGGGATGGAACCCAGGACCTCTTGCATGCTGTGCAATCACTTTACCACTGAGCTACACTTCTGCCCTTGAGGGTTTCCTTAGTTCAGTCACAAGGCCAGCAGCATCCCAGACAGTGACCGCTCTATGTCTGGAGTAGGTGAAGCAGCTCTCAAGTCACCCACACCGGTGTCCATGTAAGCAAATGAATGCACTTGAAGCAAGCTCCTTTGCCATGGCTAGACCTCAGGCCTAACCTTAGAAAAACATTCATAATGTGAAATTTTGCCCAGTTTTGTAATTTAAATGCTGTGATGTTGCCCTAAGACAGTTTTTGGCTTCTATTATAGTTTAGATGTGAGATGTCCCACAAAAGCTCATGTGTGAGCCAATGCAAGAACGTTTAGAAGTGAAAGGGTGAGATTATGAGAGCTGTAACCTAATTAGTAGATTCATCCACTGATTAATACGGATTAACTGTGTGTTAACTGTAGCAGGTAGTGTGTACCTGGAGGAAGTGGGTCACTGGAGCGTGCCTTTGGGGTTAATATTTTGACTCCACTGAGTGAAGCAGTTTCTCTGTTCCTTGGAGGTTACATCCTCAGCTGTTCTTCTACCACACGCTTCTGCCATATGCTCTGCCTCACGTGGAGCCCAAAGCAAAGGAGCTTGCCGTCTATGGACCCAGATCTCTGAAACTATGAGCCAAATAAATTTTTCCTCTTTTAAAATTGTTCTTGCCAAGTCTTTTGGTCACAACAATGAAAAAGATGACTGAAATGGCTTCCATACTATTCTTTTTTAAAAATATTTATTTTTTAGTTATAGGTGGACACCATATTTTATTTTTATGCGGTGCTGAGGATCAAACCCAGTACCTCATGCATGCTAGGTGAGCACTCTACCTCTGAGACACAACCCCAGCCCTATTCTTTTATTTTTGGTAATATTTATACAAGGATTTGCAAAGAAATGCAAGATTTTGGTGTCCTCTCCATTAGATACTTCATAGGTTAAATTGTGTCCCCACAAATTTCAGATTTATAAACCTTAACCTTAGAATATCATTGTATTTGAAGGCAAGGTCTTTAAAAAATTAATGAAGTTTAAATTATACCTTTAGGACTTAGGTCCTCATTCTATCTTATAATCTGTCCTTTTAAGAATAAGTTTGGACATAAACATGTGCATGAAGAGGGAAGAGATCATCTGAGGATACAGCAAGGAAGCTATCTGCCAGCCAAGGAAGGAACCTTAAGAGAAATCAAACCTGCCAACACCTTGATTTTGGACTTCCAGCCCCTACAACAATGAGAAAACAAATTTCTGTTGTTTAAGCCACTCAGTCTGGTATTTTGTTATGGCTGCTCTGGAAAACTAGCAAACTAGCCCTACTCATGAAATTTTAAATTGTTACTGCATCAAATACAGGAACCAGGAGAGGAACTCAGTGGTAGATCACTTACCTAACATGCATAAGGTCCTGGACTCCATCCCCAGCACTGTAAGAAAACAAACAGGCCAGTCCCTGATTTATAGTAGTTGAATGTACAATTTTTCAACTTTTACAACCATGTGAAAGTGGATCCATATGATTATTCTGTTGTTCACTTTCAGTACTATAGTCAGTAAATTACACTTTATAAAACAGGCTTTGGGTTAGATGAATTTACCAACCATAGGCCAATGTAATTGTTCTGAGCACATTTAGGATTAGCTAGATATATGATGTATGATCTGTAGGTAAGGAATATAAAATGCATTTTTAACATATGATATTTTCAACTTACGTTGTATATATCAGGGTGCAAACCTATTGTTAGTCAAGGGGCATCTGAAATTGCACCCCATTTTCATCTCATGATTCCCAACACCAGGTGGAATACCAAAGAAGTGTGTTCAATTGGAATGAGATATGTGGAGAAAACTTAAAAATCAAAGATCCTTTTTCTATTCAAATTTTTAACAACAGTGCAGAAGAAAACCAGATAGCTGTTTGGGAAAGAAGGGGTTGACAGATCTTTTGATGGTAGGACAGCAAGTTCATGAGCTCAGCTTGGTTTGAGTTTGTCAGATCAACACTGAGATTGAGAAGCCTTTTGTTTTTATGTATTACATCTTGATGAAAATTCCAAGTTCCAGGAAAAATTTGGTAAATAAGGAAAGGATAATGCACTATCCAAATATGTCCAATATATTTATAAAAATACCTCAATTCTTAGATCATAGAATTTTTTTAAAATTTTTGTCCCCCTGGAGATCAAGCCAGGGCCTCTTGCAGGCTAGGCAAGGACTTCTGCTGCTGAGGAACACTCCCAGCTCAAAAAGCTAAACTCTTACTATGTAAAACACAATTCACAAATTTGCAAGAAAGAGACCACTGTCACAATAATAAATAAATTAATAATATGAAAAATTAATTCACAAAATAATAAATTTAAATCTTACTACTTTTTAAAAATCCAATCATAATTATTGGTCATTTGGTACATGCTTAACATTGTAGCCAACACCAAGTACATGATATTGAGCAAAAATGGCCCTGATAACAAAGTACATGTATAAAGACATGAATTAGCGTGAACATACTTTATATGCAAAGATATGAAAAATTGTGCTCTGTACGTGTAATAAGAATTGTAACGCATTCCGCTGTCATGTATTTAAAAAAATAAAATCAATTTAAAAAATGGCCCTGATATGCAAGAGTTCACAGCATAACATTAAATCCAATTCACAAAGAAATTCAAATTAATTGTGCTATTAATGTTAATTGTGCCATTTATAATAGAGGAAAGTAGAGACCACTTTAATGTTCAACAGTTGGTGATAGGTTAAGTAAATTGATGCAGACACTAAATTTTTTTGAAAAATTAATATCATTGGAAAATTCTCACAACACAATATTACTAAGAGAACAACGCAACACAAAACTGGAGACAGCAACAGAATGAAATTGATGTGTGGATATATGTAAATTCTACATTTTCTAGAGTAAAAGTGTTATTCTAATAAATAAGGAAAAAGTTTCTAAAATAAACAATATAAACGCTTTTGACAAAGATACCATCTTATATTTTAATTACCAAGTAAATTGTCTAAACATACTCGTTTTATTTTTTAAATTGACAAAAATTGTCTATATGTACGATGTATAACATGAATTTTTGAAATTGTATAAGTACGCTCTTTTGAAAGATCACAATTTGGGTACATTTTGGAGCACAGCGGGGCTAAGAAAATCCTCCTGATGCTAGAAGTGACACAACAATTCTCTTAATTGAGCAATGAAATGCCACTGTCTTGTTTAAATTGTTTTTAAGAGAAAGTCAAAACTTGTCTTGACATTCACCTCTGCCTTCATAAGATAAACAGAGTTATTACCACCACCACCCCCCAAAAAAGTTTAAAACCACAAAGAGGTCTGGGATGTCGCTCAATTGTTGCTCCTATATTTTATCTCTTGTACCAAATAAAATTAAAAATTAAAAACTAAAACTAAAACGGCACGGTACTGAGTTTCACTGGAGGCCTTGTATTTCCTCCCTCTTGCCCTGACTTGCTGAGGTCCACAGCTGACCCACCGCCGCAGGTGGCAGACTTCCGCGCCAAGCCCCAAAACACCGCTTCCCGCCCAGGGGAGGCACTTGGGCCCTGCGCCGGGATTTCAGAAACCTGTTTGTACCATCCCTTTTTGGCGGAACGATCTTATTTAGTAAATATTTATTTCGTTCCCTGAACACTCAGAACTAATCACTGCCATTTCTCTTTAATAATAAATGGTGAACTTCAAATGCGACAGAAATGAACCGACTAATCAGTGCTCGCCGGGAGGTGCAAAACTGTCTGAAACCCACCGATGGACATGAAAGACGGAGCATTTCCTGTTCCAGCTCTCGGTGGCCCAGAATAAACTTGAACCAAATGGGAAGATGCGGACGCGGCCGCCCCAGCGCGCGGGCCACGGGAGCCCGGGACCCATCTGCCCGCGCGCGGCCCGGCCGTCCGCCCCTTCCCCTGGCGCCCCAGGGACCCTCAAAGCCCGCGGCTCTGCCTGCTATGCAATCTGGGCTGCTTCTCCTTTGGGCTTTGAATGCTTCCTTTTAAACTCGCTGTTCAGTTACAACCAATTAGCCCTTTCCTTTTGCCCGGGCGATGAGTGGAAAGCGAAGAGCGCGGCCCGTGCGCCCTTCGCCAGCTCAGAGCCAACGCGCGGGTTCCTCACGGTGGGGCGGGGCAGCCACACCTCGCCTTGGTGAGCAGGGGTCAGCATGCGGGGTGGCCTTTATGCCAGCGTCCCCGCCCTTTGGTCTTCAAAGGCTTTTTTTATTGAATAGGTAAGATAAGGGTCGCCCCTTCGATGGCTTCATTAGGAAACTTACACCACAAATATAAAGACCACCCCGTATATTTTTCCATCATGGTGCGTGTATTGCTGTCCCCACTTTCGTCACTGCTGGTTATGGGAATGTTATAGGGTCTTCAGATAGGTTGTATGATTTTCGTCCCAGACGCAGGGATGAAGACACTAAAACTGTGCGGAGACATATTTATTTAAAGTTGTTTATCCAAGATGTAATTTGAATTTCATATTCAGATGAAATCACGAGTGTTTGAGACGAGCTTACAATAATTTTCTGATAAACCGTATTTTAGCTTTAAATGAGAACTTTATCATAATCTCCAAATTATTCAATCTTTCGTATGATGCAGACCCAAACAGATATAGATGAAATTTCTTTTCAAATTTAACATATTTCTGTTATATTTGTAAATGTGAAATAATTAGGAATTGACACCAAAATGGCTTTGTCTCATTCATCCAGAGTTCTACAAATGTACTTTTAATTCTATCCATTTCAAAATCCCTAGTAGGAACCGGGAAAAGACTGGAAGCTCTTGTTCCATCCACAACCAGTCACTGAAAACAATACCGTGGAGTGTTCAGTGCTGAGCTTGGAGTGCCCCTCTGTGGAAGAAGCTAGGCACTACAATTTTTCTTTCTTAAGGTGACTTGGTTGGGGCTGTTCTCCAGGGAGCCTTGTTTCTCATGCTCTCCTCACCGTAAAATCAGATGTCACTTTTCCGTTGACACTTAAGAATTGAACCTCTCTTTTTTCCTTATATTAAAACTTGAACATTTATTGAAAACAATGAATGAAGCCTTTTGTCTTCCTCTCTTCCCAAAACTCTCCAACTGAGGGTAAAACATTTTCTTGCAAAACCCACAGCTGTGCTCCTCCCCACGGTGGCATCTTGGGAGCAGATAAAAAGAAGTGGCAAGGAGCAACATGTGTATTGTTTCATGTGCCAGCTTTCCACAATTGGTAGTGGCTGCTACAGAGGCTACTGAGAACTGAGTTTGGACTTAGAAGGAAAAGAGAGGTATAATGCAGAAACTGGATTGATTACTGTGCTTCCAAGAAGCTGAAACCTGCCTTATTGATCTGTAATGGCATTGGCCATTGGCTTATTGTTGCTGAGTCTATTTGACTTATTTTAGTCTGTGTTTTAATCTTAAACTTTTACAAAAGCATTCATCATATCCCCTTTAACACTACCAAACAACAAATCCCATTTTTGTTTATGAGATACTTAGTAGCAAAAAGTTCTCCCTCCATAATTATCACTAAAGTCTCTCTCCTGGTTTTCCAGATGTTAGTCCAATCCATCCTTTCTCTACTATTTTGTTCCTCAATTTTAATTTGATCTGTGTGCCATTATGTGCTGTGTGCCACAATGATGCAGCTTATAAGCAGGAACTGGCAGAGAGTGTTATTACAACAACATAAACTGGAACTATCCTGGGAAAATAGGAACATATGGCTATCCTACCTAGAAATCCTAAAGTTCGAGGGAGAAGGTCACTGTTCCTTCATAGTACATGATGAACCACAAGGTTATCATGCACCTGCTACAGCTCCCCATAAAGTCACCACAGACTATGTTCCTCAGAAACAGGGTATGTGCTGCCTGATCATTTTCTCTTATTTGCTTGACAAGGTATTTCTAACTACAATCTCAGAGTCTTTGCAAGCTTCAAACTAACTCCTGAAGGAATTTTAAATATTTGGCACAAAAGGTTGCTTACTATTAGATCCTCAGATGTTTCATACAGAGATGACATTAAGTACCCCAGATGTCCAGAACAGTAATGCTTCCACTTAACCCAAATGATATGTTCCTAAAAATATATCAAGTGAATCACATTTTAATTTACTGCAAAACTGACTGAATAGTGAAACTGGCTCATAGTGAACCTCCTATAATTGTTGAACTCCTTTTAAAATGCAAAGAAATTTTTACATGCAAGATTTACTCTTGTAAATCTTGACTTCTATAGGCTTGGTTTTCTTACAACAGAGAAAGTGTGGCATAGAACTTTGGTTTTCATTAGAGGTGATAAAACTGAAGTCAGATGTTCAACTTATCTCAAATAGGAAATGTTTTCATTTGGTTACTTTTTACCACAAGGGACCAAACCCTGACTGGTCTTACAGAATGAAAGTAATACATTGGCTCATAAAAATGAAGCTCAGACATCAAGCAAGTGTTGATCCAGAGGCCCCAATAGTGTCACCAAAGTGCTTCTTTCCATTTCCTTCATTATCTTCCCAGTATTAGCTTCATCCTGAAGGTACATTAATGAAGCCACCAATTCAATCGCGGGTGCTCAAAGGACGTAATTCAGTGTTCTCTGAGAAGGAACAACATTTGAAAACACTGAGTCATCTGAAAAGAGATTTTTCCAAAAAGAAAATAATCTACAGATTGAACAGTATTTAAGAAGCAAAACTTTGTTTTGAACCCATTTAAGTCCACAGTGGAGGAACTTAACCTCCTTTTGGTTTTGATGCAAATGTTTATATGCCAGTAGGGGGAGCTGTGGTGAGTACCAACATGTATTCCTGGCCTTACACATCACACCAAACACTGTGCTAAGAGAAACTTGGCAAACATGTGATCTGGCCTCTTCAGTGTCTAGGGAAGTAACTGAGACCCAGAAACGGGAGAACATAAATTTCACGTTATGAGAACTAAAGAGATATTTTAAAGGTGAATGGGTATCAAGGCTCTGCACACTCAAATATATTATTTATCAAGAAGCAACTGAAGATCAGTGTCTTACCCAGAATTTCCCACACTCCAGACCAACTAGACCCCTGTGAAGCAGGGTACAGCGTAGTTTTTCGAGAGCAAGCACACTTTGTTCTGATATTTACAGCTGATACCCACAGCTTCTTCTTGGCTCAACTTGGTGTTTTCTGAATTGAAAAACATAGAGCATGATGTCATGTATTGTAGAAAATATAATTAGTATATTAAACTTATGATTTTACCAAGATTGTCATTTAGAATGAAATTATAGTTTCTCTATCAGCAACATTCTATCTTATATAATCTTTTTAACTTTAAATGTAGGTTCAGAAATAGCCATGAACCTTACACAGAATCAACCTTACACATCGAAAGACACTTTAACATGCTGCCGTATTCACAAAGTTTTGTATGCTCTGGATATTTCAAGGTTTAAGAGAAAAATTTTATAAAGCTTTAAAGACTATTAGTCTCATTAATGTTAGATCATTGTTTTTTTTTTTTTAACTTTTTAAAGAGACGGAGCTCATTGGCTTTCAGTCAGCAATGTTCTCACTCCTCTATTTGTTTTGCAAGGAACTTCAAGTTTCTTCTGTATATAATCTTCAATCTGCCAAATTGTATGCATGACTTGTGTTGGTGTTAAGAGATAATTGCTCATTTGAACATTCTAAATCGAGCCTTCCATGGCAAGTTTACATTCCTCATGCGAGATAAAGTGAATGAGGAGATCAGGAAACTGGAGCTATAGGGAACACTGCTTGATCATGGTGAGTAAGATACATTTCATTGTCCAAATTACCTTGTGTAAACTCATCTAAAGAACTAGTTGTAAATGTTCTAAACACTATTTTTTAAAATTCTCCAAAAAAGGGTTTCAAATTTCTTCTTCCAGCAGTTTGGAAAGATTAATTTTTGTGAAAGACCCCTACCCCACATACACACACAAAAAAAGTCTCAAATAAACTATCTTTTATTGCATTTCTAAATTTGTAAGGATAAAAGAAATCTTCAGCATACTCCCTCCAAAATTAAAATTTAAAAATGCAAGATAGTGAACAATAATAAAAAGGAGAAAATGGGTTGACCTAAAGACAAAAGCCAATACCAGATCTGTATAGCTGAATTAAATCTTGGACTAGAAGCAAGTTCATGTACTGAATCTGAAAGTCCCACATTAAGCTAAGATTTCAAAAAGACACTAAATTATTCTGGGGCAGTAGTTCCCCTGTTTCCTAGCAAAAGCAAAAATAAAAATTTCCTGGGGAAAACCTTTCCTAATGTATTCCCCCAAAATTCCCATAGATCAAAAGGAGGGATCAGGTTGTAGCTCAGCAGTAGAGCACTTGCCTAGCACATGTGAGGCACTGGGTTCAATCCTCAGCACCACATAAAAATAAACAAAGGTACTGTGTCAATTTCAAAAAAAAAAAAAAAAAAAAGAAAGAAAGAAATATGAGCTCAAAACTAAAAACAGCAAATACACATGAAGAGAAGGAACTATTATTGCAAGTCATCACTAATTACAAACAGATGGAATTCATATTTGAAATTGTCAGACACAGATTACAAAATTGCTTCCTGTAAACTGCAAATAATTAAAGATGTATATTTCTGAATCCTATAGATTTTTAAACAATTAAAAATGATTAATTATTAAGAAGCTGTCAAAAATATCTTGCAGATTTGAATAATATAAACAAAATAACGTTTAGAAATAAAACTATAATTGTTGAAAGATAATTTAACAGATGGCTTAAATTTCAGATTAGATGTAGATAAAGAGGAAATTAATGAACTGGAAGATATATCTGAAAGACATCTACAGGATCCAGTATAAAGAAAAAAAGGAGGGCTGGAGTTATAGCTCAGTGGTAGAGTGTTTGCCTAGCATGTTTGAGGCACTGGGTTCAATTCTCAGTACCGCATATAAATAAATAACAATAAAGGTCCATTGACAACTAAATATATATATATATATATTTCTTTTTTAAGGAGGTATATATAAAGATAGACAGCAAGAAAGAGAGATTAAAAGATAAAGGCTTTAAAATACAACCAGAGTACTAGAGAAGAAATAGAGATGATGGAGAAGCTGAAATATTTGTGAAGAAAATGACAAAGAATTGTTTAGAATTAAACAAGAATTAACAAGAAGTTAATGTATAACAAGCAATATAAATAGAAATCCATGAAGATGTACAATGTAGCGAAATGTAAGACCACAAAAGAAATTAAAATTAACCTGAAAGAAAGGGAATTATGGTTAGACTCTCAATAGTAACAATAGAAAATAAAAGAGGAATAACAACTCTAAAGTCTTAAGAAAATTTGTTAATTTAAAATTATGCATTCAGCAAAACCATCTTTTCAGAAATAAAATGAAAATGTCTCTATAGACACTATCAGTTGAACAAAAACCTAGAGAGTTTGTTACTAACAGATCTTCATCAGGGAAACTTCTAAAAGAGGTGCTTCCATAAGAAGGAAAGTTGTTGCAAAAGGAAAGTCTGAAATGCAAAAAGAATCAATTGATAATGATGTGAATGATCTTTTTTCATCATTTATATGAAAAAAGAGAACAAAAATGACGAGGAGGAAAAGTGAAAAAAGGGAAGGAGGAGGAAAAAAGGGAAGGAGGAGTTTAAAAGATAAAGATCAAGCTTTTGAATCAAAAGTGGGTAATATCCTAAGATTCTTATATTTTTCAGGAGAGTATTTAAATACTCTCACTTTAAACTTAAATTTAATATATCTGATAAAATGACAACCCTGATTACTAAAAGAAAAGAGCATACTATTTTAACCAGTGCAGGGGTAACATGTGATTAAGATAAAGATTTAACCAAGGAAAAAAAAATAAGTTAATTTTGAAAAGTCAAGAGGAACAAAGAAGCAAGAGCAAAAGACAGGCTGCACAGGGTGGTACACTCTTGTAACCCTGGGGACTCTGAAGGCTGACGCAGGAGGATGACAAGTTCAAAGCCAGCCTCAGCAACTTAGGGAGACCGTAGGCAACTTAGCAAGACCCTGTCTCAAAATATATGTTTTTAAAAAAGGGATGGGAATGTGGCTCAGTGGTTGAACACCCCTGGATTCAATTCTGGTAGCGAAAAAAAGAAAGTGAAAGACATAGGACAAATTTTATTTTGGTAGGTTCAAGTCCAAATATATCAATAATCACAACAAATATAAGTGAGTCAAACACCAATTTTTAAAATATAGTTCTCAAAATATAGCTATACTGTTTATAATAGTCACACCTAAAATATAAAGATGTGGAAAGATTCAAAATAGGAACATAAAATAAGAATTACCAGATGAATACCAAAATAATGCACAGAACATATTATTATTATTATTACTATTATTATTAGATAAAATAGAATGTAAAATAAAGAACATTATTGGGAATAGAGACAGGCACTACATAATCATCAAAGTTTTCAATTCACAGTGATTCTAACAATTTTAAACATGGGTACACAAAATTAAATTGCCTCAAAATAATGTACTTTGTACGACATCTCAGCACATTTCCAATAATTATTGAGAGTTTGAAAGACAGCAAATTAACACAGAGAAGTACTATTTAAACAACATATAAGATTGTTATAATTAACATATTTAATTATGTACCCAATAACTAGAGAACTTACATTTTTCTCAGACTCAAAGCAATGTTTCCAAAGATCAACTACTTACTTAGCAATAAAGCACATCTTAACATGTCTCAAAGAATCAGTATCATGCACACAATATTCTCTAGCAATAATACCATACAAAATTTAAAACACAATTACAAATTAAATGGAAGACTTCATTCAATGTCCCAACCGGCAGGACACATCAACGTGGGCGGTGAACCTAGGTGGGGAGGAATGAAGGGACAAGAGACACGAAGGATGACAGCAAGACAGGAATTCTGATCAAGCTGCAAATTTTTATTGTTCACACAGGGGTATTTATATGCTGGGGATAGGGAAGCTCTCTAATCAGCAATTGCTGGATGTGGGTGGTAAAACTGCCAGCTGCAAGATGTCTGATGATCCTGATAACTGCAGGATGTTCCAGGGAGATAGGTAGCTGCAGGATGTCTCCCAGGCAGGATGTCTCCCAGGGGGCTGTTTTTTGTAAATGTCAGGCTATTCTTTGAAGGAGAATTTCCTTCTAGCCCCTGACAATTCAAACCATACATTCAAGAAATCCTATGAATCCAAATCAGAATAAGTACAAAGGAAAGTACATCAGAGTAAAACAGTTGTAAACCAAAGACAAGGAGCACATTTTAAAAGCACCCAGAAAGAAAAAAAGACATTATCTTCAGAGGAGCAACAGTAAAACAAACAACCATCTCCTTAACAGAAACCATGAAAGTCAAAAAACTATGTGCTAAGAGAAAATAACAATAGCATGGCATTTTATATTCACTAAAAATATCCTTCAAGGATAAAAGCAAAATGTAGTTTTGGACATACAAAAATTAACTGAATTCTTCACCAGCAGACACGAATTAAGGGAAATGCTAACAGGTAGTCTTCAGACAGAAGGCACATGATCCCAGATGGAAGCACAAAGGTGCAAGAAGGAATTAATAATAATAAAGAGGATAAAGTGTGGTGAATATTAGTGAATATTTACTATGTAACACAATAAAAAATTGCCTTATGGGAAAATAATTGATAGATAATTACAATAATAGCACAAAAGTCAGAGAAAAGTAAGTAAAGTTGGAATGTTCTGAAGATTACAATCATTGCAACATGTGCAATTTTATTTACTAGTGTTGTACACATAGTGGACAAGTTCTCATGTAGAATATCTAGTCCATCTATATGTTTAGAAATGCTTGATTCATTTAAAAGTAGAAATAGTAGAATAAAACTTTTATAAACAGCTTTTAAAACCTGATGAGAAACACTGTGTTTGGAATTGTTAAACCACCTCTGAACTGAATACCATCTGTACTTGTTCATTGGGTTGAGGAAGATTGGAGAAAAGAAATTGCAAAAGAAGTTCTGTTGGCATGTGCTAAAAAAAATCTCAGCTTATCTATTGTCCTGTTCTTTAGAAATATATATATCTTCATTGTGTTATCTGAGAAGGCCTAAAAGAAACAACATCCTAGAAGCAATGAACACCCCTAGCACCCAGATCTTGATCTTTAATATCAACTTCCAATAAAATAAAAAGAACTCAGAAGGACTTCTCAGAGAAATGACTAACTGGGACAAGGACAGCAAATATACAAGTAATGCCAGAAAGAAAGAGTTCAAATGCACACACAAGTGCGTGCACACACACTGATGGGAATATTTCAAAAGGACATAGGAATCAACTGAAAGAGCTCCTAATGGCCAAAGCTAAAACAATTTATGCAACAAAATAAATGAAGTAGTACTGGGTTGTAGCCCAAAATATTAAATGTTGAATATCTGTGAGCCCATACTGATATAAATAAACCAATGAATAAATGAACACAAGCCAAAAGAAACAAATGTCCAATACAAAGGAATTTCAAATAAATTACATAGGTACTCCACCCTAAAGGAAGAGGAGCAAAGTCTATGTATAAGAAACTTTCTTTCAAAGAACAGTAGAGAAAGTAAGGAAAGGAAGTGAGAAAAGAATATTTTTATGAAACTTGATAAACACTCTTTCAACCAGGAGAGCAAGGTCAACTTCAACAGTCATAAAACATATTGATAGTACTTGATATTATATGATGACAGTGGCCCTTTCTAAAACCTTTTAACAGCAGCCTAATCATTTTAAAAAAAAATACAGTAAGTTACAATAGAGGGGCATCCTACACCATACCTGACTGGTATGCCTTAAAATTGCTGAAGTCATTAAAAACAGGGACTATCAAGAAGAATAAAGGAACATGACAACTGTGATGAGGTATCCTGGATGAGATCCTGAAACAGAAAAATTACATTAGACAAAAACTAAGTATACTTTCAGAGCCTATGAAATTCAGTAATAACATATCAATATTGATCATTAATTATACCAACATAACACTAATGTATGATGCTAACAACAGGGGAATCAAGGGGCAGAGGCTAGGTATATAGGAACTCTGTACCATCTGCTCAGTTTTTCTGAAACCAAAATGCATTCTGAAAATAAAGATTAGTTTTTAAAAGGCAAGATAAATGTAAACTAACTGAACAGATGAGAAAAATGGAAAGCTATAAAATAAGACAGTAAGCACATATCCAATTATATCAGTAATCTCATTAAATGTAAAGAGATGAATGCTTCCAAATTTTTTAAATATTTTTTATTGTAGTTGGACACAATACCTTTATTTTATTTATTTATTTTTATGTGGTGCTGAGGATCAAACCCAGCGCCTGACACATGCTAGGCAAGCGCTCTACCACTGAGCCACAACCCCAGCCCCAAATGCTTCCAATTTAAAAACAAATATTATCTGTCTGAATTTTCAAACACACATATGTGTTATTTATGAAAGACAACTTTAATAAAAGATACAAAATGATTGAAAGTGAAAGAATGGGGAAACATGTCAAGTTAATACTAACCAAAAGAAAGCTGTGTATCTTTTTCCATGTTTTTACTTTCAATCATTCTGTCTTTAGATAAAAGAGTGATATGTTCAGAATATACTTCATCAGATAAAATAGAGCTTAAAACAAGAAATATTATTGAAGATAAAAGGAACACTCTGCCATAAGGTAAAGGACAATCACCAGAAAGATACGATCAGTTAAAATCTATTATTACCTAATAATGAAGCCTCAGGATTTTTTAAAGCAAAAATTGACAGAATTAAGAAGAGAAAAAAAGCTACAATCAGTAAGAGTTTTTTAAACACTTGTCTTGGTATTAAAAGAACAGAAAGACAAAAGCAAAAAGTCAGTAAAGATCTATACTATTTTATGTTCTTGATGAACAAACTGAATTTAGTAACCATGGATTTAGTAACTGCCCCCACAAATGCAGAATACAAATTGTACCCAGGCTATCTATTCTTCCTTAAAGCAAGTCTTAGCAAATTTTAAAATGTTAAATCAGAATATGTTCTCTCTGACCACAGAGGGATATAACTAGAAATAAATAACAAAAATGATTAGTTGGAGATTAGCTATATGCTTAGAAACTAAACAGCACAGATTTAAATAACCCATGGATCAAACAACAATAGACACTGGTAATTTAAAAATATTTTCAACTAAAAAATAAATGCAATATAACATTTAAAAACATATAGGTTGCATACAAAACCAGACTTATACAAGAAATTTATATATTTAAATACTTAAATTAGAAAAGAGATTGAAAAATCAATTATCTAAGCATTCATTCTCAAGGAGCTAGGTAAAGAAAAGAAAAATAATGCAAAGAAAATTGAAAAAACAAAATAATAAACATAAAAACAAACATGAATGTAGCAGAAAACAGACATGCAATATAGAAGATAGAACACAAGTTATAATATCCAGGAATGAAAGAGGAAATATCACTACAAATACCATTTATATCTTAAAATTAATTTAAAGGATGCAATGAATAACTTAGCCCAATAAATTTGGTAATTTAGATGATATGGACAAATTCCTTGAAAAACATAACTTACTAAAAGTGACACAAGAACAAATAAAAAATATTTCACATAGGAAGGCTTTCACTACATGTATCAATATACACAGGAATATTTAATTTGCTAGTTTCTTCTTTCATGAGCTTTAAATTTTGTATCCACAAGGAACTTGCCTATTTCACCTAGTTTGCCAAATTTATGTGCCTAAAGTTGTATGTGATGTTCAATTTATTATCCTTTTAATGTCTGTAGGGCTGGTAGTAATAGCCCCTATTTTATACCTGACATTGACCATTCACATCTTCTCTTTTTTTCCCCTCACTCTAACTAGATGTTTATCAATATTAATGATGTCCTCAAATAACCTGATTTTGATTTCAATGATTTTTCTCTATTGCTTTTGTTTCCTATTTTACTGATTTCTGCTCTTGACTTTAGTTTTTCCCTTTGCTCTGCTTACTTTATGCCTAATTTGCTCTTCTTATTCCAACATCCTAAGGTAGAAATTGATAAAGTACTTCTACAAAAAAATTTACAATTAATAATCGTACTTATGATAAAAGGTTGAACATTATCCATTTAAGACCAAGAACAAGACAAGGATGTCCACTTTCATTGCTGCTATTCTGTATCATAAAGGAGATCATAGGATAAAGTAAGAAACAAAAAAGGCATACATATTGGAAATAAAGAAATCTCTCAATTTTTAGAAGCCACAATTTTCTATATAGGAAAATCCTAAAAAATCTACTAAAGAGAATGAATCAGTATAACTTTTCTATATTCAATATAAATACACAATCAGTGTACAACCACATCATGTACAACCACAAGAAGGAAGTTATACCCCATGTATGTATAATAAGTCAAAATACACTCTACTGTCTTTTGATATGTAACTGAAAAGAACAAATAAAAACTTTAAAAAAGAAAAAAATCTAAAGGGGGAGGTAGTGTGGGGAACAACTGAACGGCAAATAAAATATAACATTTCAAAACATGTAGATTTCAAAACATGTAGAAATCATGATTTTTGCAAATTTGCAGGATAAAGATCACTATTAAAAAGGTAAGTCGTGAGTCTACATATTAGCAGTGAAGAATTGAAAATTGAATATAAAAGCAGAATTATTTATAATACCATCAAAAACACAAGACATTTAGGGGTAAGTCTAACAAACAGAGCAAAAGCTGTACACTGAAAAGTGTAAAACATTGTTAAGAAAAATGAAAGAACTAAATAAACATACTGAGGTCAACTGGTAGCATGCTCAATACTATTCCAGATATCAATTTCTTGCCAAATAGACCTACAGAGCCAGCACATTCCTGAGCAAGTTTCTAACAGGTTTATATGTAGAAATAGACAATCCAATTCCAAAATGCATATGGAAATAAAAAGACCTAGCATAGCATATTTCCCCACCAGGTACCCACAGAGTCCCTAAAACCAAGTTTCTCACTATCCTTAGGATTTAATATTTTCTCTCCTAACTATTTGCTCTGTAATAATTGCTAAATATATTGTATCTTGAATAATAATACATTATTTAAACCACAATCATGTTTTATGATGAGCAAAGATTGACATAAATATCCTCAATTAAAATAACTTTCCCTTCTTCATTGGCTGGTTGGGAAGAACAAAATTCACATGTCAATGTGTGAATTAATCTTTTTTTCTGGAATATAAAGTGTGAATCTGTGCTTCTGCCCTTGCAAGCCATAGAATAGTGTATTCTTTTCCATATTTTCGCAGCAGCTTCTGTCACTAACATCTGTTGCTCTTGGTATATTTATGTGAAGATTTATGCCAGTTATTGTGAGCGCTATCAAAAAGGAAGGTAGGCAGACCATGTGAACCAAAGCCTTAAAATATGAATAGAAGGACTTTATTTTAAAAGCAGCACCTATGCCATAATCCCTCAAACACATGCCTTTGGTTTGAGCTTTACCTATCTTTGTGGACGTGTCTGTCAAATAATTAATGATCCTTCTGATCATTTTGCCTCCTTATCCCTTACATTCCGCAAACCCCCTGCTTGACCCAGTCATCTCCTCAGACTTTCTGTGTGTGGCAAGTCTCTAAACCTCCTAGAAATTCAGGGTGGATCTCTGCTGCGCCAATTTGATTAGCTCATTTTTCAAAGTTTCTGGGTCGATGCGGACCACCACAAAGCCAGCTTGGCCAAGGGACGGAAATCAATAAGGAGGGAGTCCACAGGAGCGACAGGGGTCAGGTTCAGAAACCTTGCCACACAGTGCGCCGGCTTTGTTGAGCATCATGGCATGGGCCCATGTTCTGTAAACTTTTCATCTGCACACAAATTGCATTTCACAGCGATACTAAAAGGGTGGGTTACTTGTGCTGCATGTGGGAGGTATGGACACAAATCCTGTTATCAGATAATGGGATTAGCATGCATGCTTCCTGAGCACACTTACAAAATTTATTCCTAATCTTCATATACAGCTATCATGGGCCAGCCATTTTATGATACAACAAATAAAATTGCTGCCAAATCATGTTTAAAGCCATTATTATTGTTCTCATTATTTCCATCATCACGTCTGAGTTAAACTCCAACAATAACCACATTAAGGTGAATACTATTTTTTTTCCTCCCACATCCACACTGCCACACCCCTACTTGCCCCAAGTAAAACCAACTTGTTTCTATATGTTCTGAAGCTCACAGAAAATTATAGGCCTCAAGAGAATTAAGGGGAAAAAATCAGTAAGGAAAAAAGAAAATACCAGGTATTTTAGCAACACTGATAAGATGTCTTTTATGGACCTTATAACCTAAAAGCTACTATAAGTACTCGTTTAACATCTATGTTGTCATTAGCTTTGATTTAATCCTCTATTTAGTTTTAGATTATGAGCAGCACAGGTACAGCTTGAATCCTGCATCCCAGTTTCAAAAATTCCATGTCTCTTTCATTTCTTGGGGCTAGGGACACCTCATACTGTGCATCCTGTGCTCTGGCTTCACCACTCCAGCTGGGGAAATTAATCTGCATGATTAATTAGACCATGATCCTCAGGGATGAGGTGACTGTTGATCCAAGTTTCTGAACTAACAATCAGAAAACCCTGATCTATCAAAGATTTTTTTCCTCAAATGTGAATTTATTTATTTAATTTGAAATTATTCAAAGGATGCAAACAAAACCCTTTTTAGATACACATTTAATGAATCATTTTGACTAAAAATTATGTGAAGAGAAACACAAAACATGTACAGATTAAATATATAATTCAGTAGTGATACATATCTATTCAACTATATGCACAATATATAAACATCTGAAATCAAAAGTATCCTAAAATATGTAGGTTGAATGATTACCTCCTATGCAAGATGAGTCTGATGAGAAATTATGAAATGCA